CTTTAATACCCCCTCGGGTGTTGCTATCAGGGGCACAGGGTCAGGCTCACAAGGAACTGCTGGAGGGAGACAGCAATGCATAGCTGTTTCCAGGTAAGATTCGGTGCGCTGCAAGAGCACGAGAGGCCTCCACAACCCGCGCGTGATGTTTCTCAGGCCCCTGCTCTGCACCCTCAGGGAGATGCGAGAGAGCTTTCGCACAGTGCAACCTCTCACCTGAAAACGTGCATGAAGAGGTCATGGTTAGTCCCGCGAGCGAACAGTGGTTGGCTCCACCGCCTCAAGTGCAGTGCCATTCGGCCACCAGGGTGTCACTCGTGGGCACAGCACTCATGAAGGACGCTGCCACAAGGCTAAGCTGTGCAAGGCAAGCAAAATGCTTGTGGTGCAGAGCTTGCTGCATGAAGGACCCTCCCCCACCAGAGAAAGCTGCTCTGATGGCCTGGTTCGAGCGCAGGTCACGCGAGTTCCCCGGCACCTTCCACGTGCCCGACAACAAGGCCAGCCGACTCCTCTGTTGCTCTGTGCAGTGCCCGCCAATCCTAGCATCCTAGCATCCTAGCATCTTTGACGACAAAGCATCCTGGCATCCTCTTCAAGGCGCTCTCTACTGCAGTGTTGATCTGGCATGCTGTAGATGTGTCCAGGGCCTCTGCCTCTGGAACGCCTTTTTTTCGGTCTCGCCATCGTCTGCATACGCGCTGTGTTCCTGTCGCTCTCTGTGGTGTCAAGCTCTCAGGTCATCGCGACCAAGGCCTTGCGGCCAATCAGGCTTTGCCAATCGCGAACCGTCGTGAGCGCACTTGCCTCTCAGCTGCAGCCTGCTTTCCTAACCTGTGCTGCTGCACGAGGTCACCGCTGTTCGCCCAAACCTGCCTTTCAAATAGAGTCAGGTCGGGCATGTCCCCCTACAGGCGGATTTTGGACAAATAATTTAAGCACGCCCGACATAAAACTCGGGGCGCTCGCTCGCCTGCTCCTCCTCTGGGGACCCCCCCTCTGCCCCTTGTTCCATCTCACATGCTTGTGACCGTTGCTGTTGCTACCTGCCAATGACCCCCTGGTGAACGCGATTACTGTAAATGGTCTACTGTCAACACTCCGTCTGCGCTTCGTCGGTGCCCCCCTGGTGCACGTGATTACTGCAAACGGCCCATCGTCCACTTTCCGTCCTTGCATCGCAGAGTTTGGCTTCTCGGCTGCCGCTGTGCGGGGAGCATCGTTGCTGCAGGTAGCCTGACGCTCTACATGCGTAAACTCGGGCATCTCTGTTCTCGGGGGCGGCCCAGAGGGGAGCGTCCAAGAAAGAGATTTGCAAATCATGACTGGCGGCATGTGCTCGGCCCAGGGGGGGGGGCCAGGGACGTAATGAAATAAGGAGAGACGCCATGAAATCTTGGGAAATATCATGACCCACGCCATGATATCCACCACCCCCCTGGTCATCACCCCCCCTCTTTGCCGTCCCCGATGTTCCAAATGTTGCGCCTCTCCTCGCCCTTCCCGGGTCCTTCCCTCCCGCCTGGGTTGGCGCACGCCCGCTCGCGCCTTCGAGCCTCCCGCGCCCTCCCTCCCGGGCGGGCTCCCTGCAGCTTTCAGCCACGGCCGCGGCCGTCGTTTATGCTGGGCGTGTGGCGTGTCGCCAGGGTGCTTCTCACCAGCCGGGGGCTACGCCATGCACGTTGCGCCGCAGGCTTCGCGTGCGTTTCCCTCTTGTGCTCTTGACAGGCTGTTTATGAGCCTTCACCCGATCCGATGCGATCCCTCTTCCTCCTCCTCCTCCTCCGCCAACTCCTCCTCCCCCTCCTCCTCCTCCTCCTCCTCCTCCTCCTCTTCCTCGTCCTCCTCCGCCTCCTCCGCCAACTCCCTCCTCCGTCCTCCATCCTCCCTCTCACTCCTCTTCCTCCCCTCGTTCCCCCCTCCTGGCTGTGATGTCCCCCCTTGGCCCCCGGGGGGCGCCTGGGCGGCCCTGACGCCGGAGCGGCGAGCAGCGCACTGGGCTGGCCGGCAACCGCGGTGCCCTGGGCCTCCGCGAGGAAGCCGTCCACCTCGCTGTCCACCTTCAAAACGACGCGAAGATCGGGGCAAATCGGATCGGGATAATTCGAAATCTCTGAGAATCGGCGGGTTTGGAGGATGTGTTGGGCGCCGCGGCCGCTCCAGAGCGCTCCGGAACGCTCTGAGAGCGCTCCGGAACGCTCTGGAGCGATTTATCCCGATCCTAGCCCTGTTTTAACCTTCCGCTTCTTGTCGGCGGCGGCGCCGCGCGTCGCAGCGTCCAGCTCCATGTCGACCTCGGTGTCGGCGAACATCCTCTTGCAGCGCGCGTAGCCCTGCCTCGAGTGGGCCGCCGAGAGCTTCTCGATGCCGAACTTCTCGTCCTCCTTGGAGGACCACGTGCCCGAGTTGTAGCCGATGGCCTGGATCCGCTCGCTGAAGGTTGCCGCCTGGTGTAACTTCTTGGCGTGGTCATGGATGCCTCGCTTCTCCTTCGGAGGCATCCTCTGGCGCTCAGCAGCCTCGGCGCATCCCGCGGCGCCGACCCGGCCCAGGCCTAGAGTTCGCGGGCGGAGCGAGCCAGAATGGTGACCTGGTCGGGTGAAGTCCGCCACGCCACTTTGGCAATCGGCGCTGCAATTCGGCGGCGAGGGAGGGGGGAAGTGAGAAGGAGGAGGCCTTCTCAAGAAGGCGGCGGAGCTTCGCAGAAGCCCTCCGGCCTTCTGATAAATGTTCTGCTGCATCTTCGAGGCAGGCTTAGAAAACTTCTCAAAGGCCGGGGGATTCCCGGGCCGTCTGAGAAGGCCCACCCCCTCTCACTCCCCCCCCATGGCTCGCCGCCGAGCAAAGCAAACTGCGCGCTCGTTTGTCGGGAGACATGTGCAATGATTTCAAGAGATTTGCTGGTGGGAGTCTGAAACAATCGAGGCATAATCCGATACCATATCCGGAGGAATAGGAAGGGGGCATAACGTGGAACGCAATACGATCAAACACAACAACATGCGCGATCGTGTGAAAACCAGCCCACGGAACAAGAATGGTTGTTCACAGACGGAATATACAGGACTCCAAGATCACGATATTGGCTACAACGTAATGCAGGGGGTACTTTCTCCGCGAGGCAAGCGTTCCCGTCAGAAACCAAACCGAAGTTATAGAGATCGGCAGGTAGATCGGTCCTTAGACAGGTAGGTAGGTAGACAGGTTACCTTACCATGGGATTGCACCTATCCAAATTGGAATGGCGCCCTCGTGCTGGGTCACAAAAATTACGTAAACGCACTGACCGATCGTACTGGCCTCCCTCGTATTGCAGTGATGCACGCTTTCCAAGAAAGGTTTCACCAACAAGTCCCCGCATGAGACTTTAACTCCAGAGAAAAACCCCAATCCGCCGACCCCTTGGGGTCATCGGCGTGTGAGATGCTTCCCACTCTCCAACTTCCCCCCGGGGCCCGGTCCGGTTGGTTTGGAGGGGGGGGGGGTCCGGCCGGCCCTGGGTGAACGCGCCACGGGCCTCACGACGGGCCACGAGGGCCCCAAGAGGCCCACATGATGGTCCATGAGGGCCCCGAGTCGCCGATGGATCGTTCCAAGACGCCCAAGATGGCCCCCAGACGGCCCACGAGGCCCCCGAGACGCCCCAAGAGGCCCCCAAGAGGCGTCCCAAGAGGGCCCCGGCCCCCAGAAGCAAAAATCGTCCCATGTCCTCAGGGAAACGTATGATTTTAGCAAATTCGCCTCTTGGGCTTTCACAACGTCCAAGACGGCCCAAGAGGCCTCCAAGATCGGCGCAAAACGGCCCAAGAAGCCCCCAAGAAGGTTCCAAGACGGCACAAGAGAGCCCTAAGACTGCGGCCCAAGAGGCCCCCAAGACGGTCAGGCGGGGGACCCGAAGAGAAATTTCAAGCCCTCGGCCCCAAGAAGCCTCCAGTAGGCCCCAAGAGGCCCCAAGAAGCCCCCAAGAGGCTCCAAAAGGCCCACAAGAGGCCCAAAAAAGGCCCCAAGAAGCCCCCAAAACGGCTCCTAAAAGGCCTAAAAAGTGCTGCCAGGAGGCCCCCGAGAGACCTACCAGGAGCCCTGAAGGGGTCGGCGATGCGGCGTAAGCCGAAGAATCAGTGGATGGCTTGCAAATAAGCGACGTGGACATTGAGAACGATTGTAGGATCGATAGAGAGAGAGAGAGAGATCGAAAGTACGATCGATAGTGAGGACGATAGTAAGACCGATCTGGAGACCGATAGTGAAATCGACTCACTGAGATCGATCATGAGATCGCTCGTGCGATATATAATTAGAACGATTGTGAGATTGACAATCAGATCGATTGTTCCCCAATCCGTGCTAGCACTGAAAGGGTCCTAGCGGATCTTGAAGGGTTTGGTGAAAATGGGCGGCCGATAGGCCGCCGGGATCCAAGGTTCCCGATTGTGGGTTTCCGGGTTGCCCGTTTCGGGTTCCGGGCCGATTTCGCTGGGCGGCGGGATTCCCAGGATTGTTTCCTGGTTCCCGGTTTCCTGGTCGATCTCCTCATCGACCGGTGTCACCATCGATCTCATTACCCACCTCTCCATCCATCTCACTATCGAACTCACAATCAATATGACGATCGATATCACAATCGATCTAACCATAGATCGCACTAGCGATCTCACGGTCGCTCTCGCTCTCGACCTCACTGAATCGACTTCACTATCGGTCTCACGATCGGCCTTACTATCGTCATCACTATCGATCGCACTTTCGATCTCACTATAGATCATGCAGCCGATCTCAATGTCCATGTCGTTAACTTTCATGCCATCCACTGTTCGGGCTTTCTTTGGCACAATGAGATCGATAATGACATCGATAAAGGTGGGTAATGAGATCGATGGTCAGACCGATCGATAAGAATATCGACTTGCAAGAACCCGGGAACCTGCGAACCCCGCCGCCCAGCGAAATCGACCCAGAACAAGGGAACCCGGAACCGGGAACCCGGGAACCTGGCGCCCACCGAAATCGGCCGCCCACTTGCGCCAAAGCCTTCAAGACGCGCTATGACCCCTTCAGTGCAAGCACTGATGGGGGAACAACATTTCAAACTGAACCATCCGACAAATTCCTCCACTCGGACGCCAGGTCGAATTCGCATGCCGCGAATCGCAGAACAGGAAGGGAAGGGGGACGGACGGACGGACCCCTCTGGAACTTGTGTTTGTGTAAAGGCTGCTGAAACGCTCTCGGACCGAGCTATACTCGAAGATTGAAGGCCATTGCCCTATAAGCGGCCTACGTAGCTTCGAAACCAAGGCCTCCCCGGCAGAACCAGGCAGCACTACGGGCGACAAAAAGGGGAAGCCAGCAAAGCCAGCAGCTGGGGCGGCACGCTGAGCCAGCGGGTAAATGAGAAGGTGAGCCAGCGCGGGGCACGAGAGAAAGAGAAAGATAGAGAGAGAGAGAGAGTGCGTGAGCTGTCAGCAGGATACGTTTAAATACCGAGACAGAACACAATTGGAGTGGTGTACAGCAGCCGGGGGGGTCTTTATTCGAGCGCGTTGGTGAGCGCACGAGCGATGATGTAGTGAAAGCCTAAGCGGCTAATCATGCGCACGATGGAATGTCTTGGGAACAATGAGAGCAAGCGATTGTGTGGGTGTAGTGGCGATTGAAATAATGATGACGTGACAGAAACTGTGCGCTCTGAAAGAAAGCCAGGACGAGGCAGTGGGTGAATAAGCGCAGTATTGCCCTTGCAAGCGGGCACAGCAAGTATGCGCACGGGGAATTGTATGATTAGAAGAGTAAGGGCGTAAGTAGGCATGCGATGCAGTGAAGGTGCAAGTCCACAAAGAGTACATTGTAAATACTGGTAGGCGAGAAAGCGTGTCGGTGGGTGGTAAGACGAACGTGCGGGCCAAGTCTGGTGGATGGAAACTGGAATATGAAAACAGAACTGAACCAAAAAAACAACAAGTGGGCTCACGATAGATGGATTGAACGAAGCCGCCTGCTGGAGAGCAATTTGGCAACACTTCCGATGCCAACCCTAGCCCTGTCGTGCCTCACTGGGCGAAACGATTCCAGGGTCCGTAATGGCGAACCCGCCTCCCAGTTCAGCGGCGAGGGAGCAACACCGATCTCGGAGACGTGCCGTCAAGATCGGCACCGAGATAAGGTGATGCCCATCGCAAGGATGGGGATGTGCTTCAGGCTGGCAAGGCCCTCCCCGCGGCCGCGCCTGCTTGTGAGCCGGCTTGATGGACTCGAAAGGGCGGTAGACCGACTTGCGCGCCTTCTCCGCGAAGCTGCGCGCGCCAGCCTGGCGGCGGGGGTCCCTGGTGGCCCGTGGCCAAGCCACACTCGAGCGCTCGTAGGGAGACTGCGACCCTCACGACGCAGGGGGAGGGAGGAGCAATTCGGCTGAGGATTGCTGAGGATGAAGGAAATAGAAGAGGGGGAGGAGGGGGAAGGGGAAGAGGAAGAGGATCTGCAGGAAGAGGAGGAGGAGCAGGAAGAGACGGAGAAGGAGGGGGAGCAAGGAGGGGGAATCTCTGAGGGCCGGCGGGCCGGAGAGCTGTAGTCGGGTGCCGCGTCGGCCGTCCCAGGGCGTTCCTGGATCGCCCTGGGAGCGTTCCGGAACGCTCTGGGACAGTGCATCCTCGTCTTGCAGGTCTGCCCGAAGTCTGCCGTCCCGAGCGCGAGGGGAGGGGAAGGGAGGAGGGCCGGATTCAACCATAAGCCTCATGTCTTACCATTTCTTCTCGGGACGACCATGTGGGGAGCCATCCGCGCGACCATCCGCGAATCACTTTTGGGTCCCACCAATCTGCGCAACAAGGATATATAACCATAAAGATTCGATATGAGGCCGTCCACGCGGCGCAGATCGCAGGATCCCCAGCAGAATCCGCGAGAGGAGTCCAACGCCGACGGCCCTGGGAGAACAGAGGCCCGAGCAGAGAGAAAGGCACCCGCCCCAATATCAGGTTCCTCCTCCTCCTCCTCCTTCCCCTCCTCCTCATCCTCCTCCTGATCCTCCTCCTCCTCCTGACCCTCCTCCTCCCCCTTTTCCTCCTTGTCCTCATCCTCGTCCTCCTCCTCCTCCTTCTCTTCCTCCTTCATAACAGCACCCCGACGGGCCAACGAAACAAAGGAAGAAATACAGGGGGGGAAACGCTCGGGGGTCACGCGGGGGCGGATCTGGCACGCCACGATTCAGGGCACCGATGATACCATAAATCCTGGCCCTGCCCAATCCTCGCTCGGGTTTGGCCAAATGTCGAAGGTGATGGCCAGGAGCCGGCGTTGCAGGCCCTGGTCCGTACATTCGTCCACGCACCGTCCTCCATGGTGTTTCTTTATAAGCTTCCATGATGCAGCACAGGACGTGTCCGTAGGCCGGACCGGGCGTTTCGCCAGAGACCGCCTCCACAATAGCGATTCGGTAGATTGGAAGTTGCAGCAGTTTCGAACATGGAAACCATGTGGTTTTCAGAATGTGGTTGTTGTCCCAATGTTGCGCACACCCACCTCTGTTCAAAATGCGTTGATCGCCATAGCACCGCGCGAAGCCTTACGACCCAGTCTACACCATCCTATGCAACATGTATTGGCCGGTGCACATCCACCTGACCCAAGCCTCACCATATTGCGCAAAACCAACAACTCTTCCCGCATCTACAAGACCCAACCCTCAAACTCCTGAGTAACAGCCATCGTTCGCCGCGTACCCATACGACTCCAACCGTGACCATTTTACGCACACGCACTATTCGGTGCAAGAACATCCGGCCCAACCTTCACAATCGCAAGCGGCACATGCGTCCAGTATGCATCCAGACGGCCCAACCTGCATCATTCGGCGCACACCAATCAGACCAAGCCCTCACCATCTTAGGCCACAAACAAACTTCGGTGCAGATCCATCATGCCCTACCCTGACCTGCTTACGTTGAAAACCACAAGACGTGGCGCGCCTGCTGATCTTCAACATCGGCCCACCCCCAACGCACCGAAAAGCCCCTGGCACAAAAGGCGGAAACAAAAACAATCATTGGATACCACATACAAAATAGATCTGCACGTTTCGGGCACCCCTCGCCGACACCGATGTTGGACACAACCGCTCCACAGGCTGCCCCATGATGGGCCTGTCCTCCACCACCACCCACCAAAACTTGGAGGGGGGAGTGAGGAGGAGGAGGAGGAGGAGGACGAGGAGGAGGAGGAAGACCCCCTCCCCCGTCCAACTTTTGGTGGTAGTGATGGGAAACAGGCCCATCACCCCAGGCACCCCCCGACCGCCCCAGACGCTACGATCCCCCCAAAGCGCTCCCAGGCTCGCCGTCGCCACGTGCAGCAAGAGCATCCACATCTTCATCTTCATCGCCCCCGTCGCCGCAGGAAAGCTCAAGCGGCAGATAACTTCAGATCGACTTGGCGTTTGGACCACAAGCGGTGTTCAAAATGGCGTTGGTGCCGCACGGCATCTTTTTACACGACCAGAAATCTCATTGAAGGCGGGTCGTTTTCAAACAAGGATGTTCGCCCTGATCTTTTGCATGTTCGTATTCCAACTTCTGTTGAGCTGTGCGAATGGATGGCAAGTCATTTCCAAGACGGTCGGGACATTGGACAAAGAACCCGTAAATAAACAACCACCGGTCTGGACGCTCGTGGCGCGGTGGGGCTCCAATCGTGGAGCGGCCATGGATATCACCGCCGCCCTCATCGGAGCAGGAGTCTTCCAGGGTCTGCAGCTTCCAGGGCACATTCATTAGGGGACCCCCCCACCGCATTGGGGTCTCTCCTTGGCTTCGCGCGCATTCGAATCCAAACTCCATTGTCACACTCACGCGCTCCTTCTTCGACCTCATGACCAAGTGCTCCAGATGGTGTTCCAGATAACATGGATGGAGGGCACTTCCTCTTTCAACGCAATTTTCACGTGAAACAAGCATGCGTCCACGCCCCTGGCATCCTGCAACGTTTAGACGGATGGGGGGCATATCAGTCTCAAGATGAAACTATCCCTGAGCCTTTTCGAGTGGCCTTCGCGCGGGCCTTCCGCGGAGTATGCGCCCAGGACTTTGACGCGGAGGATGGAGGGCATGTGCTTTTCAAAAAAAGGTTGCCATGGGCCTCCTTCGCATGGACTTATGACCCTTTATCACAGGCGTCCTCCAACGACAGGCGGACCGATCCGCCGTTCGTCATTCAAGGGCGGGCGCCCACAGTGGAAAGAAATACCACCATGGTCTTATGAGGAGTAGACGTGGGCCGGGAGACTACATTTCACCATCAGTTGATGCATCTTGGGTTTACTCTGGTCCTCCTCCTCCTCCTCCTCCTCGGGCATCGCCGACGGGGGCGGGTCCTCGAAATTCATCCAAACCTGTCGGCTCCCGCGCCTGCCACTGTGGCGGGGCGCGAGACCTGGTGCCTCCCTGTGAGCAACACGGAAAGACACGCCTGCTCGGACAAAGGAGGATCGGACAATGATCGGAGCGAATTGTGGAGATAGATGGCGGTGTCCACCCCCTCCTCCTCCTCATTCTCGTCCTCCTCCTCCTCGTCCTCCTGTGCGCCTTGACGGTAGACACTGCTGCTCGCCTCCCCGCCCCAGGATCGGACGTCGCCAGAAGTGCCGCTTGGCCCAAGGTGCCCCCGGGATCTCCGGGGAGGCCCCCACGTCCTCCAGAGCGCCCCTCACGAGGCCCAGGGGGCCCCAAGAGCTCCAGACTGGAGCGACAAGCTGGGGGCACGTTGGGCCAGGGGCGCCTCTGGCAGCCACCAACAGGCGCGGTCCCGCACGGTCGTCGTCGCCTCGTCGTCGTCGTCGCCGTCGTCGTCGTCGTCGTCGTCGTCGTCGTCGTCGTCGTCGTCGTCGTCGTCGCCGTCGTCGTCAGTAGGGGGGCGCCTGGGCCGTCGACGACGCAGCCGGCGCGGAAGGCGCCCACGCCGCCGCGGGGTTCCGCGGCCACGGGGGCGCCAGGCGCCGCCCCGCCGCGGCGCGCTGCACGCCGACGGCGGCCATGGCGGCGGTTCGGAGGGGGGGGGGGCCGAGGAGGAGCGAGCAGGAAGAGCGAGCAGGAGGAAGAGGAGGGAGGCGGGAGGAGCGAGGAGGAGGAGGAGGAGGAGAGGAGAGGAGGAGGAGGAGGAGGAGAGGAGAGGAGAGCGAGCGATGAGGAGGAGCGAGGACGAGGGAGGAGGGAGGAGTAGCAGGAGGAGAGGAGGAGGAGGAGGAGGAGGAGGGGAGGAGGAGGAGGAGGAGGAGGAGGGAGGAGGGGGAGGGAGGAGGAGGAGGTAGGAGGAGGAGGAGGAGGAGGAGGAGGAGGAGGAGGAGGAAGAGGAGGAGGAGGAGGAGGAGGGAGGGGGAGGAGGAGGAAAAGGAGGAGGAGGAGGAGGAGGAGGAGGAGGAAGAGGCGGAAGAGGAGGAGGAGAAAGAGGAGGATAAGGACGAGGACGAGGAGGGGGAGGAGGGACCAGGAGGAGGACGAGGAGGGATGACGAGGACAAGGGAGCACGAGGAAGAGGGAGGACGAGGAAGAGGGCGGACGAGGACGACGGAGGACGAGGTAAGTAGGCATGTTGGTGCTCAATTGCGGGCCACCAATTTCTCCTTAGCAGCTGACCGCAAAGCTTGCGGGCACCTCCGTAATATCTGGATAGGGAGGACAAAGAGGACGAGGACAGGACGGAAGGAGGGCGAGAGGGAGGGACCTCCAAAATTGGGTCCGACCGGATGGGGTCGGAGGATCGCGAAGCATCGCCAATGCGTCGCCTATGTAGCGGCGATGCTTCGAAGATGTCGGCGACGCATTGGCGACGTCGACGTGGCGAACATCAGCCAGCACATCGACATCATGCCGCATAGCCGATGCATCGACGAGGCATCGGGGATAGGGCGCGATCCTCCGACCCCATCTACTCGCACCCCGCTGGGGAGGCCTAGAGAAGAGAGGGGGGGGGGGGGGGGGCCAACAGAAAGACACACGGACAGAACGATCCTCCGACGCGAGGGTGTCAGCTGTCCGGCAGAAAGGGTAGACGCGGGGCACGCACGGGCAGGAGTTACCACCCTTTGTGCCAACGCGGGCGGCAGAAACGCGAACCGATCACGGCTTCCGGAACGGCGCGCGTGGGCAGAAAGGAAAACGGGCCCTCGAGGGCAACGAATCCTGGATCTCTGTGGCCTCCCCCGGGGACCAACTCCCTGTCCTGAGCCCCTCGCTGACAGCCCCAGGGCTCGTGGATGGCAGGGAAGCCCGACAACGGCAACAAAAAAACTGAGGACCCGTCTTCAAAAGTTGAGCGGGGATCTAAAACTGGGTCTTGCGCGAGATGGTGTAGCGACCTTGCGTAGCAGCTTAAGGGGGCCGACGGCGCGGCGCGCCACATTCGAGACGAGGACGCTTACGCGCGACCTTACGCGGGCAGCTTACGCGCAAATGTCGGCGCAGACGATCCCGTTTTTGCTGCGTCGCGCAGTTGGCGGCGCGCACAGGGGGGGTGGAGGGCGAGGGAGGGGAAAGCGTCTTACAGGGAGGCTGCTTCTCAGGAGGCGCTGGCCCTGCATCTACATAGACAAGTCCCGCGCCTTCAAAGGAACAGGGGCGCGCCTAAGAAGCCCTCCGTCCCTCCCCCCGCCTGGAAACGACAGGGCCGTTTTTTACAGGTTCCGTTTTGCTGTTTTTTCGCCGGTTCCGACGCCGTTGTTTTACCGGTTCCGTCGCCGTTCTTTTACGGGTTCCCGCTCCGGCTTCGATCCTGGACCCGTTTTTGTTTCCGTTTTCTGGTCGCCCTTTTTGTTGCCGCTTCCATGTTCGAGGGACACTTTTTCGGAAACGGTGAAAAAACGGCCCTGCTTACCAGCCTGGAACATGTCCCTATCCCTATGCTGGGCATCTCCTCATCACGATGCCAATCTTAGGGATCCCCTTATTTTCTGAGGGCGCATCCCTGAGATTGTCGTGGCCTTCTGGAGTGTCACTCTTGGGGGTAGGGATTAAGTTCGAGGCTGGTCACCTGCCGCTTCCGGGGCCCACGACGCCCCCGCCCCCCTCTGCGCGTGGCCGACTCAAGGAGCTGTCCCCGCCATAGCGAGCGCCGTCGGGCAGACGGACGGACATCCGCTCCCCGTCGCAGGGCAGCGCCCAGGCCTGCGTGGGGCGTGAGAGCGGATGCCAGCGCAGTGCCTGCGATGAGCTCCTGCACGGAAAGCCATGCGCAAAAGCTGGGAGGCAACTACTGGGATTGGAGGCCTGGAAATTGGCACCAACACCAGCACAGGGGGGTTGCCTCCACATGGGGAAGATGATGCTAAATTTCGGTGTTGGTGGTAATAGTTCGGCCACCTTGGAAGCCAGAACATTACCACCACCACCGAGTTCGGGATCGCCTTCCCTCGGTGGAGGCACACCGCCGATCTTGGTGTTGCTGCCAACCTCTAGGCCTGCGATGGGAGGTTCTTGTCGGAAAAAGTAAGGAAGATTAAGTCCCATGTGGAAGCCGTTACGCCGGAATGGGCCTCGGACTAAGCAGGATTCAGCCGGATTAAGCGGGAGTAAGCGGGATTAGGCGGGATTAAGCCGGATTGCGACCAGGGCAAAATCAGAATTTGACCTCCCAGGACTTGCATCCGAATAAAAGCTTGCCCCTCGAGGTGTCGAGGAGGGAAGGATGGGAGAGGATCCCCAAACCTGCGAACGCTGGCGCTTTTCAGGGGGAACCAACAAGTACCGATACCGCTACTCACGGGACGTCTCCTGGGGCGCGTTCTGACCAGGATTTCGAGGCGCATCCAGCGGAGGCGACGAGGGCCGCTCAGGAGGCCGAAAAAAGGGGAAATGAGGCAAGGGTAGCGGTATGGGTACCTTCTCTTCTGCCTTTTCGGCCCTTCTGGGCATCGTGTCGGGGATCATCTGACCCGGGTCAATCCAGACCCAGGTCAGTCAGGTCTAACAGGATCCCGTAAGATCCTGCAGGATCCTGCCGGATCCTGCACCCGAGCCCGGGTAACCGCGACCCTGGCCCTGCCCGGATCCTACAGAGTCCAGCGCTGGGACCGGACCCCCGTTGGCACCTCTGGAGCCCCCATCGAGGGAAAGCCCCTTGCCATCGCTCGGACGTCCATTCCCTGTGTTTTTTTCGGTTTCGTGCGTGGCTTTTTCGCCAACTGATCAAGGATGCTCCTCGATGGTCCTCGCTGGAGGAAAAATGCACACGTCCGAGCGATGCCAGGCCAGTGACTGGATCGACGGCGAGGTCCTGGCCAGGACGCGCTGCGTGGCAGGTCTGGGAGGGTCGACGCTGGGGCACAGAACCCACTGTTCAAGGCGTCGCGGAACAAAAAAAAAAAAAAAAGTGGCGGGGACACGTTTTGAGTTTGGGGCAGTCAATCGGCGGCGATCCCAGGGGGAAAGTGAGAAGCCGTCCCCGAACACACCGAAAGTGTCTTAGAGAGAGAGAAGGCCAGAGGACTTCTCAGAAGCCCCGCCGCCTTCTGAAAAGGCCTTTTCCTTCTCACTCCCCTCCCTCGTTCACCGCCGATTCAAGATCATCGTAAGAAAGCAACCCGCAACGCAGAAAAGGGCTCCAGGGATGGGGGAGGAGGGCTCCAGGGTCGAGGTCGAGATTACATGGCACCGTCGGGGTAGCGAACTTGTCTCATGTTTCGAGGAGCTCGGCTGAGGATATCCTTCCTCGGATGGGTGCCTGTGGGCTACGGAGCTACCCCTTGGCCTTCTCTGAGTAGGAGTGGAGCCCTTTCGCATAACAGCTCTTCGCCTGCTTTAGCGGGAGACGAATCCACGCTTCCGAACCGAACGTGCGAACAAATGACACAAAAAACAAGTTGGGAAACCAACAAGTACCGATACCGCTACTCCCCGGACCTCTCCCAGTGTGTGTTCTGACCAGAACTTCGGGGAGAATCTAGCGGTGGCGACGAGGGCCGCCCAGGAGGCCCAAAAAGGGGAACACCAGGTAGCGTACCCTTCCCTCCTCCGAACATTCACCAAACCAACCAGGAGAGGGCGACCTGAGCCTGCTGGAGGTGTTCTTCCCGGTGGGAGGGGGGCCATTCCCTCAGTACAAATGAACCGTTGTAGGGACCTACTGTGAAGAGGGAGCTTGGGGGGGTTCTTCCAACATCGTTGATGCCTCTTGGGTTTAAACTGGTCCTCCTCCTCCTCCTGCTCCTCCTCCTCCTAAAACCACCCCCCCTCCTCCTCTTCCACCTGTTCCTCCTCCTCCTCCTCCTCCTCCTCCTCCTCCTCCTCCTCATCCGCCTCCCGCCCCCCGCCTTCCCTTCATCTATCCGTGCGCCCACCTGACCCTGTTACTCCCCTAGGGTGAAGGATTGGAAGGATGGGGAGGATCAGGAGGGGGAGGGGGCAGGACAAGGGAGGCGGAGGAGGAACAGGAGGAAGAAAATGTTGGAGAGGAAGGGGGAAGAGGAGGGGGTTGGGAAAGAGGAGGGGACGCGGGACGCGGGCCTCGCAGAGGAAAGCACGCCGACAGCTCTTCCTCCTCCTCCTCCTCCTCCTCCTCCGCCTCCTCCTCCTCCTCCTCCACGAAGGTCGCCCTCAGAAGGTGAAGTCGGGGAGGAGCAGGGGAGGGAGAAGGAGGGGCGGAGAAGGAGGCAAGGAGGAGGGCAGGGTGCAGAAAAGAAAAAGAGAGAGAGAGAGAGAACACACAAAAAACATACACGCACACAGGGCTTGGCTAGAGGCACAATCAGCGGGGAGAGGAAAGAGGAGTAATGAGAGAGGGCATGCGAAGACGGATAGCGAAACGTGGGGTGGGAGAGAGGAAGTAAAAATGCCATGCGGGAAAATGGCGCACAAGTGCGGAGAGGCAGAGAGAGAGAGAGAGAGCGGCATAAAAATAAATTAAGAAACGTATGCGAGAGAGAAAGAGAGAGACAAATATACTGTCCAGGATGGCGATGGCATGTGGAGTGGATACGGGATACGAGACGTGATGGGGCTGTCGACGTACTACTCTCATGCA